CCTGCTGATGGGGACTGTTCTTCCTACTTGCCTCTCCAAAGCAGCATCAGGGAAGAGGCAGTGAGTGGCTTGGGCAGAGTTTGCATCTCAAAAAGTTATTTTCCAACTTGAAGAGAATGTAGTGACAGAACCTGAAATACTGTGATTTTTTGGGGGGCATCTTGTGATTTAAACTGTCTCTTCCTAGTATTTAGAGCCTCAGCCAGGTAACTTTGTTTCCATTGAAGATAAGAAGGTGATGGGAACACACAAAGGTAATTGTCTAACCCACCTTAACTGCTTTCAGATAAATGGAAGAACACTGCTTATTTTTGGAGGGACAAATTTTTTGAAATTCCAAAACAGCCTACAAGTTTTTCCCAGTTTGAGAACTCTAAATCTCGGAAAACTTGTTTTATGTGGTAGTAAGAGCCTTGAACTACAACTGATTCTTGATTATTTGTTCCATGTTGCAAAAAAGTAAATAACAATTGTAGAGTTACTCTCTTGATACTTAGTGGTGGTTAGTTTAATACCAAAGGACCAATGTTAATTTAATTCTTTCTAAATGACTGTGCTTCAGATTCTCTAGTACCTAAACTTTGCAGAAAAAATACATTGTGCACCTCAGTAATGCACCATGGACATCACCAAACATGAGCAGCTTCCCTTTTCTTTCTGTGTCCTTCCTTTACTGAGTTCCTCTCCCAAGCAATTTATGAAGTAGGAAGTTCTACTAGTACATAAAAGGAAAGGAAACTGGTAAGACTGAGTGAAGCTGAAATGAAGAAGGGTTTTTCTTTTCTAAGAACACTACAACTGAAATGGTTTAGTTTGAAATCCTGTGCTTCAGATAGAGACAAAAAATTACAAGTAGATGTTAGTTTAGTTTGTGATTGGCACACTTCTCTAAGAACTTGGTTCATTATTTTTTGTTTAGTGGTGAAGTTTTGGGGAAATGATCAACATGTTTCTCTGAAAGTAAAAGGTTAAAAATTTCTAGCAGCACTACATTTTTTGCATTTCTTTAGGTTGGTTCCTCTACACGATAGGCCAGAGGGCTAGGCTAGCAGGCCTGAAGGATGCTTGGTTTGTTGTAGACAAAGATGTCAGCACTGGAGATGTCTTTGTGGTGAGTTAATTGGTGTTGGGAATGAGCAATGCAAGCATTTGTGACTCCTGCTGTGCAGGATGTGATTCTAACCTGGGCAGAATTCCTGGCTTCCCTCTTGGAGGAAACAAGAACCAACTAGTGCAGCACCAGCAGAGTTGAAACACCTTGTCCAAACTGGCTTTCTTGAGTAGAAAATTGATTTGGTTTTTGGTGTAGAACTTTTACAAGCAAAGAGCAAATACTGAAAAGAATCAGCCAATCTACTGAGTAATCATGTCCTACTCAAACCCATGAGATTTTTATTGTAGTTGTTCTGACACAGTATATAAAATGGGTATTATCTTGGTTTACTGTGTATCACTACTTTCTTTTTCCAGTAGAAGTAGTAGCAGCCAGTAATACAGTTTCACCATTTTGAAAACTGAGGCAGAATGTTTATAATGCCACAAATAATCAGTGTGTTAATGACTAATCACATGAGATGACAGGTAGTTCTGCAGCTTGCTTGCCTTGTTAATGTCTCTTGCTGTGCATGCAGCTGTTATTTTATACTGATGTGTTAAAATGAGGTGTTCTGCCACTTGCTGCTGTGCCTGGGGGGAGGAACTGTAATCAAATGAGAGCTGAGAGGAAACAGGCAGGACCACTACAACATTTTTGGTTTGCCCTACAGTAAGTTGGTGTGTGTGCAGTGCCTGTGTTGGGAGGGTGTTGAGTGGAGAAGCTGGAGGAAAGAGAGGTAGCATCTTCTTGAGGTAGGGTAGGGAGGGCAGTAGATATCTGAACTTGGCTTGAAGAAGGAGGAAATAGGACTGGAGGAAAAAGAATGCGAGTGTTGTGACTGTGAGGTGTGGAAGACTGACAGTCACTCAGGCCTGCTTTAGCCTATTTTTTTTTCATTAAAGTCTTCCACTGGGTTGCTGATGAAGTGCAAATAAATGCTTGCTTTCTTATTAATTTTGCCTTCATTTTGATAGGGCTTGATGCTTTTTCTGTTTTTCATGCCTTGCTTCACAAGTTACACTCTCTCTGGCATGACATCAATGTTGAGTAAACCTTTTATCTTAAGGCACCATCAACAGATCACCCAGCTCTGTACAGAGACCTGTTGCGGACAAACCGAGTGCACTGGATAGCAGAGGAGCCTCCTCCAGAGCTCGTCAGAGAGAAGATGATGGAATGTCACTTGAGGTTTCGGCACCAGATGGCACTGGGTAATCAAACCTCATCTTGGCTTCTGTTCTGCTCAGTTTGGGAAACTGTGGTAGCGTGCTCAGCGCAGTTTTGCAGAAATAGCTGAAATGTTTTGGCTTGCCTTTCTGTTTCTGTAGTGCCTTTATAAAACACTCTCTGTAGTATCTTGACTTAGTTTAACCTAGTGATGAAGGTTTTTCTTTTTTAATGTGGACATAAGGATTAACTGGCAAGTGTTTGGCCTTTTTCTGCTCTAGTGCCTTGTGTGCTGACTCTAAACCAGGATGGGAGTGTGTGGGTGACGCTGGTGAAGCCAGCCAGAGCTATCACACCTGGGCAGGTATGCTACTAGAATGGATTTCCTTTCCTTTTGTTTTGTTTTGGCTTATTGGGCTGATAAAATACAGTAGTGGTTTTATTAGCTGGAGCAAAATAGTTAATTTATTTGCACGTGAGAGCAGTTAGCTCCATTCTGACTCTTCACCAAGTATGTTTACAATCACTTGAGCCAACACATTTGACACGTTTTTAATTATTTGGGTTTTTTTTAAGATTTAGTCAGAACAAATATAAATGAATACTCTCACTGTCCAGCAGGTCTTGCACAGCCTGCAGTTACTGACCATGCAATTTGCAGCTGCTGGAAAGACTCTCCCTGCTTTTCTCCCCTAGTTTGCTGTGTTCTACAAAGGTGACGAGTGCTTGGGCAGTGGGAAGATCCTGAGGATGGGCCCATCAGTGTATACCCTGCAGCAGGGCAGAAACAGAGAGGAAGGTCCAAAGAAGGAAGAGAGTGACAAGATAGAACCAGCAACGTAACACTTGGGTTTGTTTATTGAAGGACTTTGGAGAATTTGCTGCCTGAGAATAATAAAACCAGTAATAAGCATGGGTTTTGTTGATCTGTATGTTCTAAACATCAGTTGACCCTCAAGTCCCAGCTTTTGACTCTTAGCACTAAAAAGGTCTAAAGCCAGTTTGGTACAATGTTACTGGACTGGATGGTGATACTTATGTTAATACCTATCAAGGGATGTCTTAAAGTTGTTCTGTGATGGTAGTTTTGAAAGAATTTTAATATAAAAATCATGTCTGAGTGCATGTACTCTTACAGTAAATGTATGTTTGTGCTTTGAGCACTGGAAGAGGAATGAGTGATATTCAAGGTCAGTGTTTTGAATGAACTCCAAGCAACAGATATTTATTTTTCATTTTATATAGTTTTATAAGAAATACTTTAGATTCTTAAGCTCTATTAAATAGTTGTTTCAGATGTTTACATAATTCGCAATTACAAACCTTAAAAACAGTTTTGATTGTTAATTTTTTTCACACAACTGACTTATTTTTTATTAACTGCTGAGGGCAGAGGCTGTTTGGTGTGTCTCCTGGAGAAGACAATTTTTATGCTTCAGACAAATGCAAACTCAAAGCTTTTCCTCATTATGTAGCTGACTTAATACAGACCCCATAATAACTGGAGCTGAAAACCCCAGTCGGAATCATCTACGTTTATAAGGATTGGGTGCATACTTACAACACCCTAAGCTTATAATAAAACTTGATTACAGCTAGTGAACACAAATGAATTCTTCTCTTTTGGCATAGTAGAAGAAGGTAACTGTCCCTAAAGTAGAGCTGTGGAGGAGCAGGGCTTCCCAGGTGGGTGTGGAATTTTGAGATTTGCATCCAGTTTGGGCGGTAGGAAAGTGTACCATGGAGAGATCTTTTAACCCATCTGAAGGCTTGGGTTACACATACCTACTCTTCTGTTGTCTTAGTATCTTCTAAGAATTTATTTCTTCTGGTAAGAAAAGTAAAAGGTAGTCTCTTCTCTTCAAAGTGTGGAAGTAAAAAGGGGGGGAAGGTACTCTCCAATGTCTATCTGCTAGTCTGGCAAAGTTCAAACACAGTTCAGGGAGTCCTATGGGAAAAACCTAGACTGTTAAAATCTTATTTATTGCATTAATTAATACAATTAATGTATTAACGTATTGATTTATTGTATTAATGTAATAGTGTAGTACATTACAGTAGATCTGCTTGAGGAGAGAAAAGCCACCCTTTTTCACTGGTGCTAAAATCAGTTAAATTTAAAACACTGTCCTGAGAGTGCCTGTCCATGCGCAGGTCAGCTGTGAAGACTACTCCTGCTTCAACTTCTGATTTGTGTTGAATCTGTTGTGTTAGGGGTTCTGGTCATAACTTTTATGTGGTTTTCCTAATATTTTCCTAATCTTCCCTGAAAGTTTTTCATTGCAAAATGTGGAATTAATTACTAAGGAATTAGTGCTTCACATTGTCCTCATCTGAGTTTTCCAGTAAACGTCCCAATTAAAATCTTCACAAATGTTTTCTGTTGTATTAGTGTTTTTTTTTATTAGATCATCAACACTCTCAATGTTTGTTGTTTGATATTGTACTGCTAAGAGGTAGGTTGAACTGTGAGGACAAGAAAAGGACATAGTAATTTCTTGTCTTCAGAATTCCTCTGGGGATCACCTAGTCCCACAACACTGTCCAAAGTGGGGGCAGCGAGAGCGTATTGCTCAGGGCTGTGTTGTCAGGTTTTGCAAGAGCAGACTGCACAGCCTGCATTGCCTGATCCTGAGCCTCCTCGAGCCTGAGCAGCCCAAGCTCTTCCAGCTTCTTGTATAGATGCTCCAACCCTCATCAGCTCCTCCATAATTTGTCAGGAAGCTATCAGCACTCCAGAGACCTGGACCACTTGTGCCTTTCTGTGTTGTCCATCCAGCAGGTATTAAGAGTTGTTTGCTCCTCCTGGAGGATTTAGGGCCTGCAAACACGAGCCTTCTAGCTGTCTGTCTTCCTGATCAGATGCTCTGTAGCAGATACCCACAGCAATATCATCCCTTCTAATCCTAACCCACGTACTCTCAGTTGGCTCATTGCCCACCCTCGGGCAGGGCTCCATGGTGGCCTGCTGCTCCCTCACATCCACCATGACTCCACTGCTCCCACTTCCCATCCTGCCCTTCCTGGAGAGCTTGTACCCATGCGTGGCAGCACTCTGGCTGTGTGAGCTGTCCCACCCTGTCCCCAGTGAGATCAACCCCTACGATGGCATGTGGACCTCTAATTCCTCCTGTGTTCCCCGTGCTGCGTGTGTAGTGCATCGGCGCTTCAGAGCGGGGTCTGGACAGGCCTCTCCGGCCCGTGGCCTTGTTTCCAAGGTCTCTCCTGCCTGGGTCACCCTGCTGCCTTAGACTGACAACCCCATACAGCGCTGGGGCTCCCTGTGACTCCCTGCCTCCAAGTGCCTGATGAGCACCAAGGGCGGGTCGGGTCAGTAGCTGGAGCTTCTGTCCCCTGTGGCAGGGAGTGTCCTCCTGCTGTCACTCTGCCAGTCCCTCCTGCGCAGTGGAAGGTTTGGGCTCTCAAGACTTGGGGGTTTCAGGGAAGATCCAATTAATCTCTCCCTTGTCACCTGCTGCTGGCATCCTGCCACGGCTCCTGGTGACACTGACCCTCCAGCAGTGCCAACTCCTGCAGGCAAGGAGCCCAGCTCTGCTGGGGCTGGGGGGCTGCACCCTTCCTCAGGAGCTTGGTCTGAGTTGAAGTTGCTGTTAACATTCCCTCATTCTTCAAAGGACTGAGAGTTACTGCTTTTTTTAAAGTCCTGGAGTTGCTGAGTAGATACTGCTGTGGTTGCCACCTGGGACCCCTGGACTTTATATCGAAGTGTCTATAAGGTAAGTTCTCAGATCCACCTAAAAATGTTTGTGTCTGGGCCTTCCCAAGCAGGCTGAACTCAGCCTGGTGACCTGGAGGTACTGAACTCTGCTAGGAGCCCAGCATGGTTGAAGGAACCAAGATCCATACAGCTGGTTCCCATTGTCCTCCTTTTAAACTCATTTGCTCTTGGGCAGTGTTTTGAATCTATTCTGAAGAAGTTTTCTAGGCAGAAAACTAACTGATAAAATTGAATAGTCTTTGCAAATACTTTCAGAACAACAAAAAAAAAAATCCTGCAATAATTTTGATAAATTTGTTAATTTTTTGCAAGAATGTTCATCCCACCCTATAGGCTGAGTAGTTACTTGTGGTTTTCTGGGTGTGAGCATTACTTCAGTGAGGGGTGGAGCTGCTGGGTGGTTTGAGCTCTGCTTTACTGCCTGGGTAAGGTTCTGCTGACTAAAGCATGATGAGGAAGCACCTAACTCCAGGGCATGGTGGCTTGTTCAAGCAGGGTGATGTGTTTCCCTGAAGCCTAAATGTGTTGCCTTAAGCTTGGAAGATAAAAAGACTTTTTTCATCCTTCCTCATTTTTTTCTTTTTTTTTTCCTTTTTCTTTCTATCAGGTGGGCTTGCTTTTTATAAATCCCATTCTGAGGACAGATTCTCCCACTGCTTTATCCCTGGGAAGTCTTCTCTGCTGGGCTGCTGGTAGGATGCTGGGCGAATCCTTAGCCCAGGGTACTGGGGGTGCCAGATGTGCACCCCCCTTTCCGCCTGCCTCTGCAGAGCGCACGGTGGTTTCAGCCACAGCCGCCCCGCCCGGGCGCTCTGTGGAGCAGCAGCGCTGTGCTGAGAAGCGCTGTGCTGAGAAGCGCTGTGCCGAGTGAGAAGCGCTGTGCTGAGAAGCGCTGTGCTGAGAAGCGCTGTGCTGAGAAGCGCTGTGCCGAGTGAGAAGCGCTGTGCTGAGAAGCGCTGTGCTGAGAAGCGCTGTGCTGAGAAGCGCTGTGCCGAGTGAGAAGCGCTGTGCTGAGAAGCGCTGTGCTGAGAAGCGCTGTGCTGAGAAGCGCTGTGCCGAGTGAGAAGCGCTGTGCTGAGAAGCGCTGTGCTGAGAAGCGCTGTGCTGAGAAGCGCTGTGCCGAGTGAGAAGCGCTGTGCTGAGAAGCGCTGTGCTGATGCAGCCTGTCCCCGGGCACCCGGCCTGTTTGTGGAAGCACACGGTGGCACCACTGTTCAGCCTGGAAACGGGGATAAGCGAGCGAGGTGGGAGCGGGGTCAGTGCCTGGGGCCGGGCGGCCGTGCCCCCCGCAGGGACCCTCACTGACACCTCCTCACACGGATTTTGCCAAGGCTGGAATACGACCAAGGTTTGGCTTGAGCTGGACTAAGAGCAGGCTGACTAGCAGGTGAGGTTTTTTTCTATACTGCAGAAGATCAGCATGCACTGTTTAAAATTCTTTGGTGTTTCACCTTCTCATCATTTTTCTCCCACTGCAGGCAACAAATTGCAAGCAGAATTCACTTTCAAGTTGTCACTAAGCTTTTCAGGTCTTGAAATATTTGGTTTCAATGACTCAAGTGAATAATAATTTTTGTTTTGAAAAGCATTTTTCTCTTCTTTAGAAGAGACCATGAAAACACGACTTGGATCTCGTGACTGAAAAACCCACAATTCATGTCAGCCGCAGGCTGGGACTGAACTGACATCTCTGCTGTACCCCGTGGATACGTTTGAAAACTCTGTTGCAGAGTGTACAATGGCTGAAGAATTTCTAGAAGCGTTCATGTAAAACCTGTTTCTGTTGCTCGCCTGGTTTTACTCCTCCTTGGCTGTGTCCCTGCCTTTGGCTGGTCCTGCAGGGCTGGAGGACAGTGCTGTCCCCACGCCAGGGGAGCAGTGTTCTCCCCTGGGTCTTTTCCCGCTGGCTAGCTGCTGGGGAGGGGTGAGCTGTCAGGCAGGTCTCGGGAAAGCTTCACTCAGGCTGCTCAGTGCTTATGGCGGGGCAGTAAGAGCACTGGCTCTCGGTGTGTCAGCTTGTAGGACTCAAAGAACCTTTCATCCTTCTGCTTCAAAATTAAGTGTTCGAGTGCTTTCTTTCTGTAGCCGCAAACCAGGGGGAGTAAAGGTGACACGTTCTTTTCATGAAGCCTTTTATTTCTTTTTAGAATCGATCTGCCTTTTC